CCATGACTGAACTAGGAAGAAACAGAAAATATGACCAGACGAATCGCAAGTAATGAAATTGAAACTGTGATTAAAAATCTTCCAACAAACAAAAGTCTAGGACCAGATGGCTTCACAGGTGAATTCTATCAAACATTTAGAGAAGAGCTAACACCCATCCTTCTCAAACTCTTCCAAAAAATTGCAGAGGAAGGAACACTCCCAAACTCATGCTATGAGGCCATCATCACCCTGATACCAAAACCAGACAAAGATACTACAAAAAAAGAAAATTACAGACCAATATCACTGATGAATATAGATGCAAAAATCCTCAACAAAATACTAGCACACAGAATCCAGCAATACATTAAAAGGATCATACACCATGATAAAGTTGGATTTATCCCAGGGATGCAAGGATTCTTCAGTATATGCAAATCAATCAATGTGATTCACCATATTAACAAATTGAAGAAGAAAAACCATATAATCATCTCAATAGATGCAGAATAAGCTTTTGAGAAAGTTTAACACCCTTTTATGATAAAAAAAAAAAACTCTCCAGAAAGTGGGCATAAAGGGAACTTACCTCAACATAATAAAGGCCATATACGACAAACCCACAGCAAACATCATTCTCAATGGTGAAAAACTGTAAGCATTTCCTCTAAGATCAGGAACAAGACAAGGATGTCCACTCTCGCCACTATTATTCAACATAGTTTTGGAAGTCCTAGCCACGGCAATCAGAGAAGAAAAAGAAGTAAAAGGAATAAAAATTGGAAAAGAAGAAGTAAGACTGTCACTGTTTGCAGATAACATGATCCTATAAATATAGAATCCTAAAGATGCTACCAGAAAACTACTAGAGCTAAACAATGAATTTGGCAAAGTTTCAGGATGCAAGATTAATGCACAGAAATCTCTTGCATTCTTATACACTAACAACGAAAGATCAGAAAGAGAAATTAAGGAAACAATCCCATTCATGATGGCAACAAAAAGAATAAAATACCTAGGAATAAACCTACCTAGGGAGACAAAAGCCCTGTATGCAGAAAACTATAATACACTGATGAAAGAAATCAAAGATGACACAAACAGATGGAGAGATATACCATGTTCTTGGATTGGAAGAATCAGTATTGTGAAAATGACTCTACTACCCAAAGCAATCTATAGATTCAATACAATCCCTATCAAATTACCAGTGGCATTTTTTACAGAACTAGAACAAAAAATCTTAAAATTTTTATGGAGACACAAAAGACCCCAAATAGCCAGAGCAATCTTGAGGGGAAAAAATGGAGCTGGAGGAATCAGACTCCCTGAGTTCAGACTATACCACAAAGCTCCAGCAATCAAGACAGTACGGTACTGGCACAAAAACAGAAATATAGATCAATGGAACAGGGTAGAACGCCCAGAGGAAAACCCACACACCTATGGTCAACTAATCTACAACAAAGGAGGCAAGGATATACAATGGAGAAAAGACAACTTCTTCAATAAGTGCTGCTGGGGAAACTGGACAGCTACATGTAAAAGAATGAAATTAGAACACTCCCTAACACCATACACAAAAATACACTCAAAATGGATTAGAGACCTAAATGTAAGACTGGACACTATAAAATTCTTAGAGGAAAACATAGGAAGAACACTCTTTGACATAAATCACAGCAAGATCTTTTTTTTTTTTTTTTTTTTTGCGGTACGCAGGCCTCTCACTGTTGTGGCCTCTCTCCCGTTGCGGAGCACAGGCTCCGGACGCACAGGCTCAGCGGCTATCGCTCACGGGCCCAGGCGCTCCGCGGCATGTGGTATCCTCCCTGACCGGGCATGAACCCGTGTCCCCTGCACTGGCAGGCGGACTCTCAACCACTGCGCCACCAGGGAAGCCCACGAGATCTTTTTTAACTCACCTCCTAGAGTAATGGAAATAAAAACAAAAATAAGGCCTTCCCTGGTGGCGTAGTGGTTAAGAATCTGCCTCCCAATACAGGAGACACAGGTTTGAGCCCTGGTCCGGGAAGATTCCACATGCTGCAGAACAACTAAGCCTGTGCACCACAACTACTGAGCCTGTGTGCCACAACTACTGAAGCCTGCGTGCCTAGAGCCAGTGCTCCCAACAAGAGAAGCCACCACAATGAGAATCCTGCACACCACAACGAAGAGTAGCCCCCGCTCACTGCAACCAGAGAAAAGCCCACATGCAGCAACGAAGACCCAATGCAGCCAAAAATAAAATAAATAACTTTATTAAATAATAATAAAATAAATAAACAATGGGACCTAACGAAACTTAAAAGCTTTTGCAAAGCAAAGGAAACTATAAAAAAGATGAAAAGACAACCCTCAGAATGGGAGAAAATACTTGCAAACGAATCAACAGACAAAGGATTAATCTCCAAAATATATAAACAGCTCATGCAGCTTAATATTAAAAAAAAACAGCCCAATCAAAAAATAGGCAGAAGACCTAAATAGACATTTCTCCAAAGAAGACATACAGATGGCCAAGAAGCACATGAAAAGCTTCTCAACATCACTAATTATTAGAGAAATGCAAATCAAAGCTACAATGAGGTATCACCTCACACCAGTTAGAATGGGCATCATCAGAAAATCAACAAACAACAAATGCTGGAGAGGGTGTAGAGAAAAGAGAATCCTCCTGCACTGTTGGTGGGAATGTAAATTGATACAGTCACTATGGAGAACAGTATGGAGGTTTCTTAAAAAACTAAAAATAGAACTACCATATGACCCAGCAATCCCACTACTGGGTATATACCCAGATAAAACCATAATTCAAAAAACACATGCACTCTAATGTTCATTGCAGCACTATTTACAATAGCCAGGTCATGGAAGCAACATAAATGCCCATCGACAGACGAATGGATAAAGAAGTTGTGGTACATATATACAATGGGATATTACTCAGCCATAAAAAGGAATGAAATTGGGTCATCTGTAGAGACGCGGATGGATCTAGAGACTGTCATACAGAGTGGAGTAAGTCAGAAAGAGAAAAACAAATATCATATATTAATGCATATATGTGGAACCTAGAAAAATGGTACAGATGAAGCAGTTTGCAGGGCAGAAATAGAGACACAGATGTAGAGAACAAACGTAGGGACACCAAGGGGGGTAAGTGGTGGGGTGGGGGTGGGGGTGGGATAAACTGGGAGATTGGGATTGACGTGTATACACTAATATGGATAAAATGGATGACTAATGAGAACCTGCTGTATAAAAAATAAATAAAATAAAATTCAAAAAAAGAAGAAATAGACAAATTGAATAGGCCTACATTTATTAAATAAATTAAATCAATAATTAATAGCTTGTGAAACAGAAAACACCAAGTCCAGATGTACTCACTGATGAATTCTAACACACAGTTAAGAAAGAAATTATACTAACTTTGTACAATATCTTCCAGAAAATAGAAGAGGGAAAACTTCCTAACTCATTCTGTGAGGCCAGCATGGCCCTAATACCAAAACCAGACAAAGACATTGCCAGAAAGGCACAGAGCTATTTCTCATGAACACAGATGCAAATACCCTCAAGAAAATAGTAGCAAATCTAATCCATCAAAACTTCTTTTTAAAGATCATTAATACAACCCACTTCAGAGTAAGGATTAGAGAAAGGAAACTAAATACATAAAACATTAATCTTTTTATGTGTTTCCTGGGTGCTGTAATAACATTGTAATCCGATTAAGTCCAGGGTTTATTGCATTAAGAGTTATAGTAATTCCATGTTAACCCATTCAACCCAGGATGGAATGTGAGTAGTACTTTTTTTTTTTTTTTTCAATCCTGGTACCCAGCATTATAATAGATGTGTACTATGTTTGATTAACACATGATCAGAGATCTCTTCAGAGAATTTGAAGATCCTAATCAAAGTAGGGGCACTCCCATCTGGATTGCATCCTTGGAATAATATGTCCAGCCACAGAGCCAGCCTGCAAAAATGGGAGTGCTTCAGGCATTTATTCAATTTATTTCATTAGCCCTTAAATTACAGCAAACATTTGGGTCAAGTGTTGAGTATAGTTCCCTGTGCTATACAGTAGTTTGTTTTTATCTGTTTTACAAATGGTAGTGTATATATTTTAATCCCAAACTCCTAATTTATCCCTCCCTCTGCTTCCCCTTTCGTAACTATAAGTTTGTTTTCTATGTCTGTGAGCCTATTTTGTTTTGGAAATAGGTTCATTGGTATCTTTTTTTTTTTTTTTTAGATTCCACATATAAGCAATATCGTATGATATTTATCTTTGTCTGGGTTACTTCACTTAGTATGATAGTCTCTAGGTCAAATCATGTTGCTGCAAATGGCATTATTTCATTCTTTTTTATGTCTTAGTAGTATTCCATTGTGTATACATATCACATCTTCTTTATCCATTCATCTGTGGATGTACACCTAGGTTGCTTCCATGGCTTGGCTATTACAGTAGTGCTGCTATGAATGTTGGGGTACATTTATCTTTTCCAATTATGACAACCACCATTTTAAAACCTAACATATGCTTAACTATATCAAAGTGTTGCTCACACAGCAATGGTGAATGCTACTGTCAACCTTTTGTTTCAAATTTTTATGACTGAATTGGGTCCGGCTTTTAAACGTGACTGCGCTTTCTGCGCCCCTGAGATGCGGGTCCCAGGAGCGGGTGTGTAGCCGGAAAGCACAGAGAGCCCTGGACAGCCCACAGCAGTGAAGGACAAGGCCCGCGCAAGGACTCACTCAAGCGCGCGCGCAGGATGCAGGGAGTGCAGGAAGTGCAGGATGGAGGCAGCCCATTGGACCAGCCCCGCTCACAGCGCCGCGTCCGCCAATGGGCAGCGGCCTGGGCGGGGCGTCGGCGCGCGGGCGCCTTGAGCAGCGGCTGCGTGGCCGCCGTCGTGGACCAGTCTTCGACGGCATCTCGAGTGTGCAGGGCCTGCTGGAAGACGTCGGAGGTGCCGGATCCTGTTCGCGGAGCCATGTCTCGGCCGGAAGCCGGCGCCAACGCCTCCTCCTGGGTAGCTGCTTCTCAGCGAGGCGCGGCGCTGCCTCGGGCTCCGGAAAGGAGCCCGGAGAAGGAGCCGAGCCAAGGCGGTCGCGGAGGACAGAAGGCCGGCGGAGGTGGCGGCTGGAGGGGCCACTCCGGCGTCCAGCAGCCCGTGGGCGCTGGTTTCCAGGAGCCGCCGCTCTCCTTCAGCCTGAAGAACGACTGGGTGGGCGCGGTGATCGGTGAGAGCGGAGGGCCTGCGCGGGCGGGCCGGGGTGGGTGAGGCGGGGCGGGGCCTGTGGCATCCCCGCCCCGACCGCCTCGCCTCCAATCAGCGGCCACTGGGGCGGCTCGGGTCCCCACCGGACCTTTCTGATACGCTTTGGTGCTAGAGTGATGGTGTTAATGCATCTCTGTATAGTTTATAGAGAACGATGTTTTGGGAGAGCCAACTCTTAGACTTAAGAAATCTTTGGTTTGAAAGGTCAGAGCTTTGGCAGCTTACCCCAAAATGAACAACAAAGGAGTCAGTCCGTTTGAGCACCAGGGAGAGCCATTAACCCAAGATAAAAAGGCGTAGGGTATTAAAGGGCTGCTCGAAACATTAGCCATACCTTGCACTTAGTTTCTGTTACTTGAATATGATTAATCTGCCGAAAAAAGTGTTCTTTTTCTTAGTATAGCGTGAGTCTTACAAATTCGTTTTTGAAAAGCATTTGGAAATGATTGGAAGTAAGGTTTGCCCCCCTTTTAAAATTGTGATAAACAACATACCCTAAGAACAAAGTTGTGTGGTAGATCTGCAGAAGGTTTTCATATTGCACGACTGAATCTACCTCTCAACAACTCATTTCCCCATTCCCCCATCCCTGCCAGCCACCAGACACATCATAGAAGTGGAATCTGCAGTTTTTTGTGATTGGCTTATCTCAGTGTAATGTCCTCAGGGTTTATATGTGTTGTCACAAATGGCAGGATTTCCTTTTAAGGCTGAAAACTTGCATTGTATGCATATGCCACATTTTTTTCATCCAGTCATCTGTTGACAGATATTTAGGTGATTTCCACCTCTTAGCTATTGTGAATAATGATGAATATGGGAATGCAGATATCTTTCTGAGATCCTAGTTTCAATTCTTGTGTATAAGTTCCCAGAAGTGGGATTGCTGGATCACGTGGTAGTTCTATTTTTAGTTTTTAAAGGACTCTGCATACAGTTTCCATAGTGACTGCACCAATTTACATTCCCATTCACAGTGCATAAGGGTTCCGTTTCTCCACATCCTTGCCAACTTGTTATCCCTTGTCTTTTTTTTTAAAATAAATTTATTTATTTATTTGTTTTTATTTTGGGCTGTATTGGGTCTTCGTTGCTGTGCCCGGGCTTTCTCTAATTGTGGTGAGTGGGTACTACTCTTCGTTGCAGCGCGTGGGCTTCTCATTGTCGTGTGCGGGCTCTAGAGCGCAGGCTCAGTAGTTGTGGTGCGCGGGCTTAGTTGCTCCACGGCATGTGGGATCTTCCTGGACCAGGGTTATGAACCCGTGTTCCCAGCATTGGCAGGCGGATTCTTAACCACTGCGCCACTAGGGAAGCCCCATATCCCTTGTCTTTTTGATGAGAGCCATTCTAACAGGTGATATCTCATGTGGTTTTGATTTGCATATCTCTGATGATTTCATCATCTTTTCATATACACCTGTTGGTCATAAATATGTCTTCGAAGAAAGGTCTATTCAAGACCTTTGGCCATTTTTTAATTGGACTTTTTTGGTTGAGTTGTGTGTAAGGGTTCCAATTTCTTCACATCCTTGCCAACACTTTGGATCCAATTAGTCTTTCCTTGGTCTGGTGGTGAATCCGTAGTATCTACCTCTGGGAAAGGAACCTCCTACCACCCACCACAATTTGGAATAGAAAGCGCCTGCTTTTCCAAACTGAAAGTGATTACTGAACCCTAGGAGCCTTTGTTTGGATGATTTGGTTTTTTTTTTTTTCTTGCGTTATGCGGGCCTCTCACTGTCGTGGCCTCTCCCATTTGCGGAGCACAGGCTCCGGACGCGCAGGCTCAGTGGCCATGGCTCACGGGCCCAGCCGCTCCGCGGCATGTGGGATCTTCCCGAAACGGGGCACGAACCCGCGTCTCCTGCATCGGCAGGCGGACTCTCAAGCACTGCGCCACCAGGGAAGCCCTGTTTGGATGATTTGGGAAGAACTAGAGAAGGCTTTGAGCAAAGTCGGTAGTAGGTTCCCCATAATTAATTTCAATTTTTTAAAAAAAATTCCTTTATTTTTAAAAACAGGGCGTGGTGGGTCAAAAATAAAAGAGATCCAGAGCTCAACATACACCAAAATACAGGTAAATTATTCGGGTTCTTAAATCCTTAAAGAGGATGAACTATGGTTCATTCCTAACTCTAATTTCTCTTCAATTATTAACATACTGTTGTAACTTAGGTAAGTTGCCAAAGCTCTTCATACTTCTTTTTAAGAACTCACCTAAGCTGTAGTCCATTCATTATATCTTAGATGCTGATTGATAGCAATCCTGTATTTCCTTTACACTTTTATTCTATTTGAGGTTGAGGGCGGGGGTGAGGGGGACGGTGAAGGGACTTATCTCACCTATTTCCCCCCTTGTATCTAGATAATAAAAGGGTACCCTGAAGCGGAAGTAAGAATTTTTGGCACCAAGGCAATGCAGAGCAAAGCGAAAACAGTGATAGATAATCTTGTTCAAAAACAAGAAGACTACAAAACAGAACCCAAAGTTGGTAAGTAATTTCTGCCCACTAAAGCCCTGTAAAATTTTAAATGTTTTATTCAGTGTTATAAGTCATATTATAACTGGCTTTTCCTGATAACAAAGCTTTGGCTTGCCATCATTAAATCTAGTCTGTTACAGAATTTTTTTCTATGAAATCCAGGATACTTTTCCTCAAACTAAGACACTTAATATCTGCTGTTAAGCCTAGCAGTTTTACTTTTGAGTAAAAACAAAATAACCTTTTAATACACTTCACTGTTGATGATACAGCAAGGATTAGTCCTGGCCTCCTGTCTATGGTCCCTTCCCTGGAATGTGACTGATTTTGAAAACTGCCTAATTATTTGATATTTTAAAAAATCTCAGATCTACTTAGACTAGAGAAAAAGCCATTATTGAACTATTTCCAGAAGCAACAAGGAGAAGAGTCTTGGGTTCAGATGGCAGCATTGCCTCTTAGTGTTTCTTGGGAAAGAACCTCTAAAAAGCCTCTAAGACACTGTTTCTTCTGTTTACCTGGGGTAACATCTGCCACACAGAATTATTGTAATGATAAGTGATGTGTTATTTATTATCAGACACTAGTCTCTCATGCTTTTTAACTGCTCCAGTAATTTTCTTTTGCATTTCAGAAATCTGAAGTAAATAACTGGCAAACCGTGACCAGAATTGTCATGGCACTGTTGTACTAAATTCCTAAATTTAATGTTTTAAGCATTATTATTGTTGGATTATTAAAACAGAAAATAATAAAATTGTTTTGGATTTTATACTGGTAGGATTTGTTTGGAAACTAATTTGGAATATTTTTAACAGATGTTGCTGTTGTCCAACCTTTGGATGGAAAAGATGCAAGGAAAGATGTTTCAGGAAATAAGAAATTCGTTGATTGGGATAAGTGCCGAGAAAATATTTTGAAATGGAGCAAAAACAAGTGGGCAGGTTAGTGTTGGATCCCAACACTTATATGTGGTATTGTTGTTCCTAGTAATTGAGGTTTTAGCCTCTATAAAAAATGTGTTGCTCTTAGTAATGAAATCTATATGCAAAATGACAGTAGAATTTGAAATGCTGCAATTAGTCTCTAGGACATGATATTTCTATGTCTGTGTTGCAGTTTACGTTACAAATGGAAAGTTAAAACTTATTTATACCTTGTCTTATTTGAGGTAACCCGCTGCACAAGTTTAATAAAAATAGAAAATTGGGCCAAAAGGGAAATTGATGGTACAGTGAGTAAACATGCCAACCAGGAGTTAACATTTTGCTATGACTGAGCAAAAATTGATCTTGGAGTGCCCTGGCCAAAGAGGGCAAAATAAAAAGGGAAAAACATTTAATAAGATCATACAGTTCTTGAAGAAATGGTTTTTTTAAATTCTCACTTGGAATTATATATGGAGTATAATGTTCTACATTATTCACTGAATTTCAGAGTAAATTCAGGCATTAATTTGATCAGAATGAGGCAGTGGGACAACATCATTTATTTAAAGTTAAACAGTGAACACTACCATGTGACAAATATTAACAAGGGTTCATTCCACTCTGGTGGTCAGCCTATCCCATACCATCTCAACAACATGTGTTGAAAGATTTGGGTGGAGGTGGGGAACAGAAAAAGGATTTATGTTTGGTGGAAGTATGATAAGCATTTAAAAAAGAAAACAGGGCTTCCCTGGTGGCGCAGTGGTTGAGAGTCCACCTGCCGATGCAGGGGACACGGGTTCTTGCCCTGGTGTGGGAGGATCCCACATGCCACGGAGCGGCTGGGCCCGTGAGCCATGGCCGCTGAGGATAGAATAAGGATAAATATTTTATTCCTAAACAGTAATGGGATGGACCCTCAAAGAAAAGAAAGTTAGCTTACTATGAGAGAAGATTCGTCACTTGTGATGGCTGTGTGTCTTGTGAAGCATGGTTTCTTTTATTTTATATTTAATTATTAAAGATCTCTTTCTTGGGTGAAAAATGTAATTGAAAGACAAAGCAAAAATGGAGATCTCTTAGAGGCTGGCAGTAGCTTTGCTGGCAAAGTGTGGAACAGCTGTCTAGAACTATTATCTGTGCAAGGTGAACCTGATACATATTTTAGTTTGATTTCTGTTACTTTGAATAAATGTCAATGAAATGTAAATGCTCATTAATCATCCAAGTTAAAATTTTGGTTTTTGTCCCAGGTTTACCTCCAATTAAGAAAAACTTTTACGTGGAGTCAGAAACAACAAGTTCAATGTCACAAGACCAAGCAGACAATTGGAGGTGAATAGTTTTACTACTTTTTATTGAGTATTTGTAGAGTTATGCTGGTAAATTAACCCATTAGGAAAATATTTGAAATGATTGCATTTGAAACTGTAGCTTCCTATTCAAAAGAAAACTTGGTTGCACCCTACATCATATACATTAGAGCATTGCTGTCCAATAAAACTTTTGGCGAAGAGGGAAATGGGCTATATTTGTGTCTAGAGTATGGACAAGTGACTAAAGATCACCTGTTGAATGAGAATAATTCCCACTTCAAAGTATTGTTGAGGATTAATTAAGGAAATGTGTGTGAAACATTATAGGCCCTCAGGCATTTGCCAAATCTGACTTTGATTCATGAAGCATATAATTTTCAGGCTCTATTCTTAACCTTTCCATGAAATTTTCATTGGCCCATTCATGCATACAGTAATTTTTTTCCTTCTCTGGAACTATTCTGGTAAAAAAAGATAGGCTTGCTTCTATTTCTTATTACGTTTTACTGTAACTTAACCAGCAGTCTAATTTTAATTAGTTGCAGTTGAATTTCTAGATATGACCTGAACTAATGTTGGAAAAAATTTCTTGCCTGGGGAGTAAAGTGACCAAATCCACTAATCCTTGTTCTGTTTTTCCTTAAAGGAAGGAAAATTATAATATAATGTGTGATGACTTGAAAGGTGGTGAGAAACGTCCTCTTCCCAACCCTATTGGTAATTTTGAGGATGCATTTCACTGTTATCCTGAAGTTATGAGAAACCTTCAAAAGGCAGGTTTTCAAAGGCCAACACCAATTCAGGTATGCTTTCTTTAATTCTAACATTTCATCGATTTTCTCCCCTCAATTTCTGGTCGTTAGAAGTTATAACACCAGGGAGCAGCTGTCTCTTATAAGTGTCCCCCCAGCACCTCCACCACTGCCTAGCACTCAAAATGCTGAGAAGTTTGGGGCTGGGAGAGGAGGAAGGAATACTTGACAGAAAGAAATGCACTTTTTATTTTAATATTTCTCATTCTGTTTCAGTCACAGGCATGGCCAATCATTCTACAAGGAGTAGATCTTATAGGAGTAGCTCAGACTGGAACGGGGAAGACATTGACCTACTTAATGCCTGGATTTATTCATATTGACTCACAACCTCTGTAAGAATTATTACATCTGGGTTCTCTTTAGGGGTTTAACAGATATGGATTCCAAAAATGCAGTGAAAGTTTCTTCGATTGCCTTTGTTGAAAGGTAATGCCTAGTCTCGGGCAAATGCACTTGTGTTGTTCTGGTAAGCTATAAATGGACAGAACATTTTTAGGAAGCAATAGGTAGTATCCACCAAAAGTCTTAATAGTGAAACACTGGAAACAAATTGTTTAAATTACCGTGTCCAGTACAATTCTGTGAGAATGTCTGACACAGGAAAGCTCTGGCCCTGTTTAATGAAAAGGCTGGTGTCTGGACCCTAGGATTTTTTTGTTAGGCTGTTTTTTTTTATTTCTCCACTTTTTATGTGTGGTGCTTGTTTGTGGCTTTGACACTCACTGCTGCCTTTTTTTTTTTTTGCCGTACCTCGAGGCTTATGGGATCTTAGTTCCCTGACCAGAGATTGAACCCAGGCCCTCAGCAGATGAAAGCTCGGAGTCCTAATCAGTGGACCGCCAGGGAATTCCCTCATTGCAGGCACTGAATGAAGGTCCTGTATATCTGAGATGGGTACTTTACTAACGTGTTTTCTCTCCAAAGAGCCAGGAATGGGCCGGGCATGTTAATCCTCACCCCGACTCGAGAGCTAGCTCTGCAAGTGGAAGCCGAGTGCCGTAAATATTCATATAAAGGTCTTAAAAGGTGAATCTTTTCTTTGACCATTCCTGCATCAGCATTCTAACCATTTGTAACTGTAGACATCCTCCCCATTATTTTCACACATCCTGAGAAGCTGATTGGCTCAGCATGGGTCAGACTTACTTACCCCTGATCCACATCGACTGTAACCTGCGTGGTGGGGTCAGATAACAAGGATGCGAATGTGGCTCTCATAGGACATGTCCCTGTGGATTGGTGGATGTGGATGGTTCTCAGAAAGGGGCCAATACTGTACTACTTGAGACTTCTGATTTATGTGCTTTTTATTTTATACCCAAAATGCTTAGGTTGGTTGGAATTTTGAATTGTGATGGGATATTCCCCACATGAACATGAACCTCTGTATTTTTTTTTTTAAGTGTTTGTATATATGGTGGTGGCGATAGAGATGGACAAATAAAAGACTTAGCGAAAGGTGTCGATATCATTATTGCCACTCCCGGAAGACTCCACGATCTACAAATGAATAACTTTGTGCACCTGAAGAGCGTAACCTACCTGGTAATCGTGGAGCAGGGGTTCAGGGTCCTGGGAGGAAGCACTGAACTCTTTATCAAACCCTTTAGAATGGCTCTCCATTTCATAATGGTTTTAAATCCTAGGAATGTTTCTCATTCCCTCTAGTTTGTTAAAATATGGATTTTAAGATCATTCCAGTTTAGTATTATATAAATATTAGAAAATGTAGGTAAGTACAAAAGAATTCCACATGAATATTTTAGACACTTAAATTGTTTTTTCATTAAATAGATTTAGAAACTGTTAGTTGGCAAACTTAACTCAATCTGTGTTGCAACTACAGACAGCTTAGGTAATGGAGGAAGTGAAAAAATTACCTTAGTATTCATAAAGGCAGAGCATACATATTAGCTACCTTCCATACCTAATCTAGCCATTTTTTTTTTTTGGCCGTACTGCACGGCTCACAGGATCTTAGTTCCCTGACCAGGGATGGAACCTGGGCCCTCAGCAGTGAAAGCGCGGAGTCCTAACCACTGGACCACCAGGGAATTCCCCTAATCTAATCATTTTTAATGCAGGTATTAGATGAAGCTGACAAGATGCTGGATATGGGATTTGAACCCCAGATAATGAAGATTTTATTAGATGTACGCCCAGATAGGCAGACAGTTATGACAAGGTAGGTATATGTTTAATTTGCTAGTCTGCAAAGTAGAAATCAGTGGAACCAAATCCATTTGATTTTAGAGCCTTTCTTAAAAGTATTTTGAGATCCTTTGGTGAAAGATATGTCATCACTTAGTATAGCAACTCAGTGTAACAGTTTAGCAAAGACTATTGGGTTTCCTGAATTAAAAATGAGATTTCTAGGGACTTCCCTGGTGGTACAGCGGTTAAGACTCCACACTCCCAATGCAGGGGGCCCGGGTTTGGTCCCTAGTCAGAGAACTAGATCCCACATGCCGCAACGAAGGTCCCACGTGCTGCAACTCAGACCTGACACAGCCTAAGTAAATAAATAATGTTTGGAAAAGAATAAGATTTCTATAAAAAAAATGCAGGGGAGACTGTTTCACAGGGGGGTCTCAGATTGGAAAAAGTAATCACCTGTGCAGAATACTTTTTGGTAAAGATAAAGCTGAGGCAGCAGAAGAGTATGTGATTGGGGAAGTAGACTAAATTTATTCATTTTGTTTTCTCACTAAACTTCCCATCTTTGTAATTAGTGTGAAAGTACAGAAGGTGGTTACTTTCATAATATATGGTTGAAGAAACATCTGAATTTACATATCCAATCATCGGAACAGTTAAAATGTTTTTATTTGGCATGAGCTTTTCGTGTTGCCTGCTAACAATGTATGAAAAATACTGGGGTTTTTTGCCTTATTTATAAAGGCCGAGAGAAAACTAACACCTGAATTCATTGTACCTTTTCACAGATTAGAAAGGTATAGCTCTTCTTCACCTTTTGTTTACAGACCTATTAAACTTATTTAAAGTTTCAATCTAGTAGCTTCGTTGAGCAATTCATTGTGAAGCAAATGTTTTCTGTGAAATTGGCCTCATTAAAAAGTACTAAGTTTGTCTTTCATGAGTAATTTTGTTCATAGCATTCTTAGGGAAATTTAGTAATGTTTGCTTTATAATAAATGTTTAATGTTTGTGTATTACATTTTATCTCCAGTGCAACGTGGCCATGTGCTGTCCGTAGACTCGCACAATCTTATTTGAAAGAGCCCATGATTGTGTATGTTGGTACTTTGGATCTAGTTGTAAGCTTGTTTTTAATTACTATTTATATCTTATTAATTATGGAAATGTTTTGCCATTGAAAGCTCTCTGGCCTTTCACTTCATAATTGAGATTGGTCTTTCAACTAATCATTAATGAAAATTGACGTTTCACTTAAATCACTGGTAATTAATAATGGGTCATTGCCCTAGGCTCATTTCATGAGATTTCACGAAAGACAGGATAAATGCTTCAGAATCTGTTTCATCTCTGGGTCAATAAAATGGTACCAGCGATACTTTGAAATTTTGTGTTGTCAAAATACTTATTGAACGGAAATTCTTTGTGTCATCAGCTGAACATCTTTATTGCAAAGGCTATATCCAAATTCATGGCAATAGTTTTGTAAGCTTGGCCTCAAACCGTGGTTACTCCTTTTTCAACAATAGTAACCAGCTGCTTTCAACACACTGCCACGTATTCAAGAGTTCCCAGCTTAGCGTAGGTGACTCACTGGTAAAACGTGAAAGACTGAGCCATAAATCCTTGGGTAGGAACTGGTGATTTTGCAAGGACCTGCCATTTTTCCTGCTAGCAGTTTATTAGAACATTTAACCAATGATAGAAATAAGATGGATTTCGAGCCAGTATATGGGGTTTGCCCATTAATATTGATGAACTATGATCTCTGAGTCCTTTAGGCTGTAAGTACCGTGAAGCAAAATATAATTGTCACCACAGAAGACGAGAAACAATCGCATATCCAAACTTTCATCGAGAGCCTGTCTCCCAAAGACAAAGTCATAATATTTGTTAGCCGGAAAGCTGTGTGAGTATATTTTTTTTACATTCAAATCATCAGTCATGGTTTGTTTTGGCATTGTTTCTATGTGTATACGCATTTCATATGGGGGTGTGTGTATGTCTTACAATATGCACATTACTTCAGACTCTTGCCAGTGGAAGTAACAGTAATGAATTGATGGTGGTATGAGAATAAGCACTTAGACCCCTGACTTTATCTTTTGCTTCAGGGCTGATCATTTATCAAGTGACCTGAGTATCCGGCATATATCAGTAGAGTCTCTGCATGGCAACAGAGAACAGAGTGATCGAGAAAGAGCATTAAAAAACTTTAGAACAGGTACATTTATACAATTAGTATTGCAGTTTAAAAGTGTCTAGTGCCTGGGCCTTCCCTGGTGGCACAGTGGTTGAGAGGCCGCCTGCCGATGCAGGGGACACGGGTTCGTGCCCCAGTCCGGGAAGATTCCACATGCCGCGGAGCGGCTGGGCCCGTGAGCCATGGCCGCTGAGCCTGTGCGTCCGGAGCCTGTGCTTCGCAATGGGAGAGGCCACAGCAGTGAGAGGCCCGTAACTGCAAAAAAAAAAAAAAAGTGTCCAGTGCCTGGACTTGTTTGAGTGTTGGCACCTTTTCATGGAACCCATGTCTAAGATCTGCCCTCAGTTTGCAGATCCCAGAACTATACTTGTTCTAAATATTCATCAGATTCTCAGAACTATCTCAAGCTAATGTTTAAAACCTGGATATCAAGGCAGTAATTTGCAGTGAGGGTGTTATCTTAATTTACTTGAGAGGCATATATCTTTGCCATGGTTGATGAACCCTTTGAATTTTGGAATCTGTTGTGTTGTAACTTGCCAGCAGTTAAAAAAGGCTAAGTAACCCTTTCTGGTCTTCACTGTCCTTAAAGGAGTTTTAATATTAAAAGCAAGGATAGTTCACCTGATCAGATATTAGGGGACAGATATGTCTTGGGTTGGTTTGTACCAGCATGTGTCTGTATTCTTTTGGCTTTACTCTTTAGGGGAAGTGCGAGTACTGATTGCTACCGATTTAGCATCTCGTGGTCTTGATGTCCATGATGTCACACACATCTATAATTACGATTTTCCCCGGAACATCGAAGAATATGTGCACAGAGTAGGGCGCACCGGGAGAGCAGGGTAAGTCGGTCCATCCAACCTGGCTCCCCATTCTCTTCACAAAAAGGACCTTTTTCCCCTCTGAGAGCACTATCATAAAATCCCTATAACATGCTGTTTAAACAACTGCAGATTAGGTTCCAAATTGCTGTTTGAATGGCTAAATCTTTTTTTTTTAATCAAAGTATAGTTGATTTACAGTGTTGTGTTAATTACTGCTGTACAGCAAAGTGATTCAGTTATACATATATGTATACATTCTATTTTTTTAATATTTTTTCCCATTATGTTTTATCAAAGGATATTGAATATAGTTCCCTGTGCTATACAGGAGGACCTTGTTGTTTATCCATTCTATATATAAAAGTTTACATCTGCTCACCCCAACTTCCCACTCCATCCCTCCCCCAACCCCTTCCCCGTTGGCAACCACAGGCCTATTCTCTATGTCTGTGATTCTGTTTCTGTTCCATAGATAGGTTCATTTGTGTCATATTTTATTTATTTTTTATTTTTTAGATTTTTTTTTTTTGATGTGGACCATTTTTAAAGTCTTTATTGAATTTGTTACAGTATTGCTTCTGTTTTGGTTTTTTGGCCATGAGGCATGTGGGATCTTAGCTCCCCGACTAGGGATGGAACCCTCACCCGCTGTATTGGAAGGCAAAGTCTTAACCACTGGACCACCAGGGAAGTCCCTTGTGTCATATTTTAGATTCCACATATAAGTGATATCATATGATATTTGTCTTTCTCTGTCTGGCTTACTTCACTTAGTATGATAATCTCTGGTGGCATCCATGTTGCTACAAACGGCATTATTTTGTTCTTTTTTATGGCTGAGTAGTATTCCACTGTGTATATGTACCACATCTTCCTTATATGAATGGCTAAATCTTTTTTTTAATTAATTAATTTTTTGGCTGCGTTGGGTCTTCGTTGCTGCGTGCAGGCTTTCTCTAGTTGCGGCAAGCGGGGGCTACTCTTCGTTGTGGTGCGTGGGCTTCTCATTGCGGTGGCTTCTCTTGTTGCGGAGCACAGGCTCTAGGTGTGCGGGCTCAGTAGCTGTGGCATGCAGGCTCAGTAGCTGTGGCTCGCAGGCTCCAGAGCACAGGCTTAGTAGTTGTGGCGCATGGGCTTCATTGCTCTGCGGCATGTGGGATCTTCCCGGACCAGGGCTCGAACCCGTGTCCCCTGCATTGGCAGGCGGATTCTCAACCACTGAGCCACCAGAGAAGTCCCTGAATGGCTAAATCTTAATGTATCATGCGTAGTTGGGCTTATGAAAGAGTTGAGGTTTTGCTGCTGCTGTTTTTGTTCTATTTTGCTAGCTGAATCATGAATATAAATTACAAATCAAATTAAATTGACTTTTTTCCCCCTTGAAGGAGGACCGGGGTATCTGTTACCCTCATCACTAGAAATGATTGGAAGATTGCCGGTGAATTAATTAATATTCTGGAAAGAGCAAATCAGGTGAGAATATGCAGCTCTGTTTTCTAAGGTTCAAATTTCATTTATTCCAAGTACTGGGGCTTTACTGCCTGTCAGGAAATACAGATATTAAACAAGCAATTAAGCGTGTTATGAGGGCTGTAGCATGGCAGAGATGAGCACTATAATATATAAGTGGGGAACCTGATCTAATAGGGGTGAGCGTCACTGAACCCTGCTGAGGAAGAGCCCAGTGGGGTGGAGGTTGGAGAGAACAGAGGAAGCAGAGGACACTCAGGCCTCGAGGTGAGAAAGTGACACCAGGCAAAGGCACCGGGAAGCAACTGAAAGGCCACGCTAGCAGGAGGGCCATGTACTTACTGACGGGGTTTTTTAAGACTAGGCTGGTTTTTATACCTTGAAGATTCGGTGTTGCATATGCAGAGGGACACATTCCATTCTGTTTGGATGATGTCATGTAATCAGTTGTGGAGATTCTCTGAAGATTGTAGAAAAGCTGTTATATAATGAGAATCGCCTCAATCCTAATAACACGTTTAATGGCTTCAGAGTGTCCCAGAGGATCTTGTGGTGATGGCTGAGAGATATAAAGCAAATAAACTGAAAAAAGAAATGGAAAATAAATGGGAAAGACCCCAAGGAAAACCCAAGATGTTTTATTATTAACGTCTATGTTGAAAAGTGGTACCAGCCTACTTAAAAGAGGTAAAATTTGAATAACACATGAACTTTCAAACACCTGGTTTCCTTAACTAGGCTTTTAGTGTGTTTATTACAATCAGCATTATCTCTAAGAGTCCCTAACATAATAAATGAGATCTTATTCTTTATCTGTTACCTAAATTCTAGTTAATATATCTTAGAACTGATTCACTTTGTTATAAAGCAGAAACGAACACACCATTGTAAAGCAATTACACTCCAATAAAGACGTTTAAAAAAAAATACATATATATATATATCTTAGAAGTATTAATTCAGAGATGAGAAAAAAACTTTAAGTTGTACAGTCGTAAGAGTATAATGGAATACAATAGAACTGGTGTAGGTGTAAATTGGTATAACCTCTTCTGAGCAATCAGGTGGTAATGTATCAATTGTAAGTACATATACCTTTTTTTTTTTTTTTTCGGTACACGGGCCTCTCCCTTTTGGGGCCTCTCCCGTTGCGGGGCACAGGCTCTGGACACGCAGGCTCAGCGGCCATGGCTCACGGGCCCAGCCGCTCCGCGGCATGTGGGATCTTCCCGGACCGGGGCACGAACCCGTGTCCCCTGCATCGGCAGGCGGACTCTCAACCACTGTGCCACCAGGGAAGCCCACATATACCTTTTGATCCAGCAGTTCCTCTGGACATAAATGTCCAGTAGGGAGCCATATGAATAAACTATGGAGAAAATCATATCATATAAGGGCCTAATGCCTATGACATAGGAAACTCCTAACACTGAACAAAAACAACCTGATTAGAAAATGGGCAAAGGACTTGAATAGACATTTCTCCAAAGACATACAAGTGTCCAACAAGTTAAAGATGCTCAGCTTCATTAATCACTAGGGGATTCAAAGATCACCTCACCCCTGTTAGAACAGCACAGTACATCAATTTATGGTTTTTCCTGCTTATTTTTCAGAATTCAAGATTTTTTTTTGAGATATATTTATTTAAGATACTGTGGAAGTATTGGAAGCACGCTGGCAGTATGAAGAGATGACTGAGTCTTAAAATAATAGTGTTTAAAATGTAGAATCCAGTATTTTATACTTTAATAAGATCAAAAGTATTTAAACTTGAGTTGAAAATTTTTTATCGATATTAAGGAATGTAGCATTAAAATTTCACTTTTTACTATCTTTATTTTAAAAAAAGAAATAAAAGTAAATTTTGTCTCCTATAATGTTGCTGTATTAAGGTCAATCTTTAAACGGTTTCAAGCTTGTTCAGATGTTGTCATAGCAGTGGAAATGCTGTTAACACAATAAATAATTTTCTGTGATAAAAAGACAAGCTGATCCGTCTTTCTCAATAGCCCTCTAATTTTGTGTTTACCACATAGTGTTTTATTTGGTGGTATTTTTCTTACTACTTTATCTACTTTGAAATGAAGCAGTAAAAAGATTTCATGGGGCCAAACTATGCAACAGCTGTTTGTTAAATTTTAGCCTAGTGCTCGAGGATCAAGTAAATCCTGGGTAAATTCATTTCCCCGAAAGCTTCTTTGACTAATCATGGCCCCTACTTTCCCTTATAGTTTTGTGTAGTTTTCTGTTCCCTACATGATAAGTACTTATACCATGTTATCATCTGTCAGAAGTTGAATAGTAGTGAGGAAATATGTTCATGATACAAGAACAACAAACACCCACCAAAAGGTGTATGTAATGAGAATAAATTTTTGTAATAAGTTTCATTATGTGAAAATGCATTAAAATTAGTGAAATACTAACATTAATTTGGGCTACTGACAGGTTTTCAGCGAAGCTGGGCTAGGCTAACAGCTAGGAGCCCATCTTTCCCTAAAAGTACAGAAAGAAACGTAAAAAGAATACACAATGGGGACAAAAGACAGTCTCTTCAGTAAGTGGTGCTGGGAAAACTGGACATCTGGTTATAAAAGACCACAATCAGAGCACGCTGGGGAGTGTGGGGAGGGCAGCCCCGGGGCTGAGGGGCTCGGGATGCAGCCAGGGGCTGCCGGGACCCGTGGGCTCGTTGCTGCCGGTTCAAGGCCCGCCCCGCTGCTGCCCCGGCCCATGGGCATCACATCTTTCAGCAAGAGGGTCCAGAAGAGCATCTCGCAGAAGAAGGTCCAGCTGCACGTGGACAGGAGCCTCAGGTGAACACTCTCCGACGTTACAGAGGACACTACAAACTGCAGAGCAGGCCAGGCTTCAGTAAGGCCCAGTGAGCAGAAACCATCAGCCAAGGCTTCAAGCACAGACCTGTGAGTGAAAACGAGACCCTCCTTACTTTTCTACCCGGTGAAGAGTGACCACAGCCCACAAATGGACCAGAAATGAGGGGCGGCAAGCGGCTCCAGTGAGGCTGGAGCACATCTTCAATGGGTAAGTGCATTGCTTAATGCACAGTGATGTCGGCTGCATTTAAGCCCATGAAGGCTGTTCAATTTTACTGTAAATAAAGCTTGATGAATACTGTAAATCTTTTTAGGTCAGGAGGATTACATCCTCCTGATGCAGCATGTTTACATGCAGACTTTTAAGCCAGCTACTGGACTAAAAAAAAAAGAAAGGAAAGAAAAAACATGATCAGAAAAAGAATGAAAGGAAAACAATGTATGGCCTCATCTGCGAAGCATGAAGTCAGCTCTCCTGGAAATGTGGGTGACAGCAATCTTGGCAGTAACTGTGTGATCCCACGCTGCCTCACACGAGGTGTAGCCCTGGACCAGCAGCCTGCGGCTGGCGGAGGGCCTGTGTGAGCAGACCCATCTGCTGGGGACACAGACCCTCGCTTTGCTGCCAGCTTTGTTGCTTGTCAGCAAGTCCGTTTGACGCGGGTCCCTCGCCGGCCCTGTGCCTGGCACACAGTAGGCACTCAGGCGGCATCTGCTGGCTGATCAAGCTGTCATTACAGTGCCAGACTTGTCACATCTGGTCCCCAGCTCCAGGCGCCGAGACCCCTGCTGTTTCTGTTGCAGAAACGTATGTAGTAGAGGAAACCCTGATGCACCAACAGGAGGTTTCGGGTCAGGCGAGGTTTCAGGCAGTCCCATGCGCCCAGCCGTATTGTGGAGGGTCCAGAAACACACATGCAGAGCCCCTCCCGGGAGCCACGGCCCCTGGTCCTCCCGTCCACGCTTCATTCTGCGGGCAGAGTTACGTGTTACGACCTCAGCCATTCTCCTGGGCCAGAAATGCTTTGACAAATGGATGCATTTAGTGGTTTGGGGCTCATGTTTTCAGAAGTACTAATCCTTAATTGAGAACCACAAGAAAGCTGCCAAGGACCGTGTGGTTCCTGCCCCAGAGTCCAGCCCTGGGGTGGAAGTTCTGACCAGCCTTGACCTTTTGCACTGGGGGGTCAGCAATGAAGCACGGCTTTGAGCAACGCAGGCCGGTGCCATCTGATGCTCGTTCTTGTGAGCACTTTGCCTCTCTTTTAGGGGGAACGATTGCTAGCACAACTTTTTTAAGTATTAACAATTACCTGATTTTTTCTTTATGTTCAAAAACTCAGATCCCTATATCTAATTCTATCAGAACCAAAGTATCCTTTGAAAATAAAGCTTTATATCCAAAAGTATGCTTTTGCAACATTTTCTAGTCAGTGTGTTGGGGGAGTGTGAACAGGGAGTAGGAAGGAAAGAGAAGAAAGGACTTGAATTCTAATTTCTGACCATCTTGACATATATTGTGTTCAAAGGTATCACCTTCTTACTCAGTTTTAATTCTGAGTTCTTTCTTAAGCCTCAAAGAATAAAAGCAGCAGTGGACAGCCTAGCCTGCTGGAGCGTTTTAGTATCTCACGGATGGATTCATCTGAGCAGCCGCTCAGAGAAGTCAGAACAAACCCCCCACAAGCAGGGAGGTGGAGTGGCCAAAGTTCTCGGTTCCATGGAGCGTGCTTTCCATGGACAAGGACGCCACTCTCACTAAATAAAATGTGGTGTGTCCGTGGCAGACACGCTTTCACCAGTGCTCACGATGCATGTCTAGCAGATTGCAGCCTTTCAAAATATGCACAATTGAATGTACAGAGAGCATCCTCTAGACTCAGGGGATCGTATTTTCATACACCTGACCGTGGTTGGCATGTCGGGGTGCTCTCTGTGTTTCCAGTTGTGCAGATTCAGTGCGTATTCAGAGAGCGTCTCACTGCTCACAGCTGAAGGCTGTTGATATGTAGGCACCAAGAAGGCTCTAAAGTATGTGGCTTATGTAGGTTTTTCCTAAGAAGCTGAGTTAGAAAGGGTTTGAAGGAATCAAACACCAAACCCCCTTTGTCAAGGGGAGTGTTTTGTTATCAGGCTGGAGTTTGGGGGCAGATGGGGTTAAGGCATTGGTAACCTGCTCTCTGGAAATATCCACATACTATTGAAAAAAAAAATGTAGCTGTCAGATGTTTGAGCCACAATTGTGGATGTGTAGGTCATGTCACCGTCTCTTCAACAGCAGATCTGTGTTCCCAGTTGAGAGACTCTGGACAAGAAGCTGTGGTGTTAGGTTCTATCTGTTCTGGTGTGTCTGGAAGAGCGCTTTCATTCCCACGGGAAGCCTGGCACACTTTTCACCCTCAGCCAGATGCTGTGCGCACGCAGTCCCATGCTGTTTTTCCTCTAAGGAGAGATCCTTTGGAAAGTGGAGGTTGTGTGTGTCTTTTCAACCTCTGAAAGCATGTCAGGTGAGAGAAGAGACAAAGCTCTCTGAACTCATGTTTTTCTTGGGTGCAGAAATCTGTTCTTTCATCAGACCACTAAGCCACGTACGTGCCTTAGCCTCTTCTGCAGTTTCCCACAGCTTGATCTGGGGCAGGAGGCTTCTGCCTCTTAGAGGTGGCCGACCCTCTAAAGCAACCCGGTCTGGCTTTGGGGAGCAGTGGTGCTTGGGGAAAGCAGCCCTCACCGTGGCTGTCTGCATTTTTAAACCACCTGTCAAGGACTTGCGCTTGTCTCCACCTGTAAGGTTGCAACACTGCCTTCTCT